TATGTCAATCTGTTTTTTGTAATGTTTAGATGAAAATAATGTGAAATATGCTATTGATATGTTTAATCATTCATGCAAGGTTGAGCTTTTGGTTAACTTGCTCTTATCTGTGATGCTCATGAAACAATTAATCACTATTCCATGAGTTTCGTAGGTAAACTGGTCTCCCATCGCATTTAAACATTAATTTGATCTTCATTTCAGAGTTTGAACCGTCTAAGTTGGGTTGTTGATATCAATTTTATTTATAGAATGAAAAGGAATTACAATTTGATTTTAGTGTAAAATTTACCATAACAAGCAACAAACCTCTAATGCATCATTACCAAAAAACAAAAATATATATATAAGAAGAATGATTTTCCACCTAAATAGGTAACCTAAAGTAGTAGAAGTTGCAAAGGAATATTGGAAGTTGAATAATGGTCGTTAGGAAGGAGATGATGAGTCAAGCAATATTAACGGTAAAAAATAATTTAAGACCAGACTAGCTCAGCCTATTCGCTAGAAGATAGAGGATAAGTGGTGAGTAGTAATATTGAATTGTATTGGAAATGCTAAAAAGGGATGCATTAAATCGAGACTGGGAGATATAAGGCTAAGAGCAATAATGAATGTGTGGAGTTTGGGAACTCGAATGGCAAAGTAGTGGATTAGCCCATTAGCCCTAGTGGGATGGCTAATCCATCTATTCCAAAATGGGTTAAATGGAGAATTGGTCAGTGGGCGTAGAGGTGTAAAATGGGCCGTGTCGGGCTGGCACCGCACGGCCCGTGGGTGGCCCGCACTTTGTGCAGGTCATCACAGACCATGCCACTCTCCCTTGTGAAAAATTTGGGGGTTGGCCCGATATGGCCCACAACCCGGGCCCATGTGGGCCCATGGGCCGAGCCTTGGGCCGGGTCGGGCCGTGTATAAAATTGCCTATATATGAATTTTGTGTATAAAATTGCCTATATATGCAATAATTGAATAAATTAGTATGATAAAATTAAAAAAAAATATTTTATTAATATATTATATACTATATATTATTATATAATTATAATATATATAAATATATATATAATGCATATAAATATATAAAATATATATGGGTCATGACGGGTCATGTTGTGCCGACTCGTGGACCTAAAATCCTAGGCCCAGCACGGCTCGCATGGTCATGCCAAGCCTAGCACAGCCCGCAGACCGTCATGCCAAGCCGGTCCAAGTTCTTGCCGGGCCGCAGGCGACACGGTCCGATTTACACCTCTACGTGGGCCTAAGAGGCCAACAAAATTCCAATGATTGTCTGTAATCCAGTAGAGAAAGGGTGTATCCATTGAAAAATATGAAAATTTAATTAAAAATATAATAAAGCAAAATAAAAATTACTTAAATATAATATAAAATAACTATTTATTATTACTAGTATTGATAAAATTATAATTTTAAATCCATTTAAATTCATCATAAAAATAAATAAAATTAATCAACTTTGTTTATCCTCAAATTAATTATAAAATAATGCATTTTTTCAGTTTTAAAATTTCTTTTCATTAATTTAAATCCTATTATAAAGTTAAAATTTAATAAAAATTATGTATGAATTTTACTTGTACTAGCTTGGCTTGCTTGGATTGAACTTCGACCAGCTCTACCCAATTGAAAATGTCATAAGGCTCTTCAAAACACAAACTTCCTTCTCAAACATGTGTCTATCCACTCAAAAAAAAAAAAAAGAAGAAACTATGAGCTTAAAATAGTAGTTATCTGTGGTAGTTACCTCCACTTGAAGGAAATTAAAAAGCACTCATTTCAAATAATGTAAGATCCATGAAGTAGGTTATTATTTAATAAAACTTTATTTAATCTCTCAAATTAAATAACAAATTTATATAAAAAATATCAAATAAAATAATAACCTAAATTTATAACATGAAAAATTGGTGTGAAACAAAATTTATCAAAATACATGAATGAAAAAATATCAGGATACTAGCCCCGTACTTTGTCGATTACAAAAATGTAAGGCCCATGTTAATTTTTCTAATTTAATTTTTTATAGTTAAATAGTAAATTTCAAATTAAATGATATTGTAGTTGCCCATTACTTAATATAGGGTCATTATCTAGATAATTTAAAAATTGAAATAATTCAGATTAATGATCTCGTACTTAGTACGGGGTCATTTTTTATATAATAGTAAAGTATGAAATGCCTTGACTACCTTTTTTTACCCGAGAAAAAACCCTTATTACCATTAAAAAAAGCACAAAAATGCCTCGGGGCCCAGTCTTACGTCAAAGATTGAAAATGACCATTAAAAAAAAAAACGGAAAAGTATGAATAGACCTAATGCAGATTTCTGAATTCCACTGCAAAGCTATAAACCTTTAAAATGTCAAAAACCCCCCCACTCAATACACCAATGCCGGCCTGTAATTTAACATCAATTCCAAGTTAGCACCCACCCCAATTATACTTTAGGCCTCAAAATTCTGACCCTAGGCTGAACCGTCATTCTCCCTAAAAATGCGGCAGTGAGGTGCTCAAACCTCTTTTTTTCATTGGAAATTAGAATTTCATTAAAACCAAACAAACCCAAAATAACAACATACCGACGAAACAGAAACAAACAACAAAAATTAAAATCAGTCCCCCGGATGCATGTGAATTTGATGAGAGGGCCCGTTAGATAGGTTTTCAAATCAATACCTATAAAAAGAAGTGTGAGATTCATCCTGGCATCTTTGTCTTTATCTGCCGATATTTGATTTGGCTTCTCGTCCAGTCTCCATAATCCTGATTACCATCATATACTCTCTCTCTCTCTCTCGTGCATTTACACCTGCCACATAAATTTATTATAAAAATTGCATATTAGTATTATGCACTTTAAGTCTGGTCTCATTTGGTTCCTTAATTAGTTAATTTTAAAATATTTTAATCCAGTATCTAAAATAAAATGTTAAAATTACTTTTCAAAATAAAATATTGTTTATATTAAACCAAAACAATGATGAACATATTTTAATCAAAAAATAATAATGATGAACATACGAAAGTGTAATAATTATATTAAGAAATATATTGATATTGGTGAATTCTTTTTTTCTTTGAACTATAAATGCAGATAATGTTATTCTGCTGAATTCAGAATGTCAAATATCCATTTTAATCTCATATATGAAAATTTTTATAAAAAATTATAATTTTTTTTTTACAAGATAAGAGATAAAAAGAAATAAATATTCATTTTCTTCTTAAAACTATAAGATTTCTCTTAAGAGATAAGAGTTACGAAGAAATCAACAGTTCGTTACATTTTCATTATACTTTCATTGTGTCTATTATGTTCATGCTACACTTCTCTTTGTCTAACAAATAGCTGTGTTTGGTGAACCGAGCTTTGAGAATTTAGTGCCCAGTGGTTTGTGTTGTCAATGATTGTCTAGCTAACAGCTTTTTGAATTCTGAATTCTAAGCAATCGTGAGAAATTAGTGCATTGTGAGAGCTGTTTGGATGGTAACACCCAAGACCTAACGACTGTGAGAAACCTAGGATTTAGTGCCTTGTAAATGGTGGTTTGGTCAATAGCTTCGTCTTGTTTGTGTTCTAGGCTTGTAGCGTTGGGAAGATAAAAAGGTACTCATTTGCTTTCCAATTTAAACGGGTCTAGTGGATGTAGCAAAAAGATCACTAGAGCCAGGAACTCTTGACTACCAAGTGTTCGATGATTCGTTTCTTAGCCTTACATTTGAGAACCTGGGTATTTCAATTTGTTCAACATCTGATGCACCTTTCATTGGTTTTCCAAGTTCAGCAGCTAGAATTGTGATTCAATCCAAGTATCCAACAGCGTATAACTTACAGTTGAATGGCAGTAATGTTCTTAAGAAAAAGCTTTGCATTATCAGGGAATTTTACTGCTCTTTCGAGGGTTTGTACGTTCTGCTCGTGGGCGTCTAGGGTTCTTGATAAGGAGAGTGCTTGATAAGCAATCAGTGTCAAATGACAACAGTGGAATTGGTCTCGCCGTTGGTTCTCCAAATTATTTGAGCCAGGTTCATCATCTCTCTTCCATGCTTTCCTCCGATTGAGTTCAACTAGAGGATGTTAAAATCGACCTTGTAGACATTGAAAGTTGGCAGGTTTTTTCTGGATTTACTCAAGCATGGAGAGGAACGTATGAAACAACAGATACAATCGTGCTCAACGGAAAATTTAGATCGGCTGCTGCATGTCTCCCATGTAGTTGAGGCTGAGGGCCATGAGGCTGCCTGTGATTAGATTGAGGACGTGAGAATTCGGGGCAACCTCTTTTATAAACTGGATATGGATTCTAAGGAATTTGAAGAGTACAATAGAAAGTTCTTGTACTGTTAAGAAGATAAGGACTCCGACATTTAATCAACTCACAGGCCCTTACCATGAGCCGTTTTGCTTGGACATTTACATATCAAAGAGCTCTATTCGTGCCTGTATCGTGCACCGGGTTGTTGCAGTGGCACATTTCCAAGGACATGAAATTTGACTTGGTGTCAACCAAGGATTCTACTTCTTGTGCTGTTGTAGGAAGAATTCTGGCTCAAAGGGCGTTAGTTGATGATATCCATGATATTTACACACCAACAAAAGAGGAGACATTGGTGGACCTGGAGGTTGATAAAGAAATTATTTACACATTGGTTTTTCATAAATTACTTTTCTCTATTGGCTTTTAAGAAATTTGGGCATTTGGATGGTTGATAAAGAAAATTAGATGAAATAGCATTTGCATCCTTTCACATGCTACTTAATGGCAATTAACGGTTTTGTATTGAATTTGCACGTTTTGAAAGTTTAGGTACTGGATTAGCACATTTTGAAGTTCAGAAACCAAACTGAGACTAAGTCCCAAGTACAAGGTACTAATTTGCAATTTTCCCTTAAAAATATCCTGTTATACACTTTGAAGACTACTTATTATAATGGAAAATGAAAAAATAAATAATTTACCATTTCTCCAACAAATATTCCAAATATAAAATAGTCATAAAGCTCTCCCACTCGGCTAGAAAATCATTTGCCAAGTAAAGAAAGACTGTATAAACTGTGAACAACATATGTTTGATTAAAAGACTAATGATTACATCTTCCCAACCCTCATCATGGTTTTACCATCACCATCTTGATCTCCTTGCAAACAGAAAAAGTAAGATGGATAGGGGGTCTCTTTGTAGGACTTAAAGCGCATTGTCCCAGAGGGGATGAGCTCATCCATCTTATCATGATGCACCCTAAATGACCCAAAAGCCCATACATGAAGAAATGATGTCACCTAATTTTTGGATTCGCCAAGCTCAACATCCTTCAAACGAATGTTCTCCACTCCATCCTTTAGCAGTCTAATATCTTCTTCTGTCAAACTCTCTTTCGCTTTCAAATGGGGTATGACGTTGGGATTAGCCTGTTTCTCAACCTCCACTGCCCAACTGTAGACTACCATTCCAAGGACTGCAAGAGCCATCCCAAGTATGTTCTTAAGTGTCAGCTCTGAGTCAAAGAGCAACCACCCCAACGTGAGGACGCAGACAGTTTTCATGTGACCTAACACCTGGAAAGAGACGGCTGAGAAGCGTCCGATGCAGAGGTACTGACTCACATTGCAGAATACAGCTAAGGAGCACGAGAGCAGTATGAAGAACTGCAAGTATTTCACACCATCCATAACTAAGAAGTTTTGGAGAATTCCTTCACAGAAGCATTCAAAGATTAATATTTAGATTGAGATTGAGAGATAGAAGTGACTTACAATTGCACCAGAAGACACCTTATAGTTTGCTATGAATTGGCCATTGAGATAGTAATCAATAAAAGGGCCAAGTAATAGAAGAGAGAGGGCCTGTATTGGGGCTGTCTTGCTCAGCAATTCAAATGAACCGATTGAATACTTCTTCTGCAACGAACCAATTGTCTGTATACCACAAAGTGATAGATCAGAAACTAAAGAACATGAAACATAACTGTTCTGGATAGGCAAAAATCAAATAAGCTTGTAGTAAGCAGAATGATAATTTGACCAATATGCAGTTAAGAGGTGAAACTGCCAGATTATTCAGCACAGGTTACTAAATTGTCTCCACTTCAGATCTAAGTGCCATATTTCTGCCAGTGACAGGTAGCTTACATTATAGGCTTTTACATTAGTGAATAAATCCAGCTTTGTATGATGCATAGTTTTCCAAGTTGTTACAGTGGCTCCAAAACATCCACCAGTTAAAGTATTTTCTTCAACTGAACTTTTTATACTTGCGTACCATCCTTGATTTCCCAAGTTAACAATTATTGAAACAGTGTCAGGTTGCTTAGTCTTAGATATTAGATGTGACGGGTTTGCTAGTTCGTGCAAATTGTAATTGGAAGAGACAAGGACCCTCAGATATGCCATTTGATAAAAGCTGAAAAGAATGAACTGAATGACTAATTGCTTTATCTTTAGTGAATAAGTCATTCAGGAGGTTGCAAAATATGAAAACAGAATTGATTGTTATGCCCTTAAATAATTTATTGTTTAATTATTTTATTCACTAAAAGATAAAGCTAACAAGTCATTCAATCCAGCCATTTCAGTCACTATCAAACAGCTCCTCAAATATCAAATATTTCATATGAATGATAATGTACAAAGAGATAATAATTGGGAAACTGTTAGGTCCAGCCTAACTCTGGAGCTTTCTTCGAGGGAAGCTCTTCCTCCTTAGAAAGACAGAAGAAGAAATTGAGAAGTCGACCAAAAAGTCCATTTCTTTCATCCAGATTGCCTATTCATAGTCATTACATCAGTGTAACCAAACAGGTCAGATCTGGTTGAAATCATTTATACCACCTTCTGGCATGGTCTTCTAGAATAGAACCTGTTTAAAGGGAGGTTTAGTATGATTAGTAGTGAGGTTGTGGGCCTAATGGAGTCACTGATATGGCCATGGGCCTAGATGGAATCTGAGCCATCGTAGAGTTCCTATCAGCACCTCCCCCCTAATGAACAACCTTGTCCTCAAGGTTGACGTTGGGGTTTCTTGTTAGGGGCGAGAGTAATCTTCCCATGTAGCAGCATCCTCAAGAGGGAAGAGTGGTACACATGACTAAGGCCTCTTTGATGACTTCTTGCCTTGCCGAATCCAGTGGAGTTCAGTAATCTCCTTTTCTTCAACTTTAAGGTGTCCTTCATCTGTGAAATCTGCCAAGGTAGTATGATAAATCACCAATTCCCCAAGATGTTTCTTGAACAGTGAGACGTGGAGATCAGGTAAAGCTTTGATGAGGGAAGCAATTCCAGCTGTAAGCAATCAACCTAATTCTTTCCAGGACAGGAAAAGGTCCATAGTATCTTGGAATGAAGTTTTTCCAAGCCATACATGCCAATGTTGCTTGTCTATAAGGTTGTAGCTCCAGGTACAAAAGATCTCCAACTACAAATTCTATATTCTTATGCTTGCGGTCATATTGTATTTTCATTTGCTCCTGGGCTTTTTAGTAAATTGACTTTAAGCTCTTGTCATATTTGATCTCTTGCTGTCAACAGGTCCTTGATTGAAGCTACAGCTGGCAGGTCGTGACCATAGAGAACTTTTAATGGGTCCATTCCCATAGCTACTTGGAATGCAGATTTATATTCCAAAGCTCAGCCACAATGGCTTATGCAGCCATTGTTTGGGTTAGTCACCGGTGAAGCAACGCAAGTATGTCTCTATACATCTATTTAGGACCTCAGTTTGGCTGATTGGGAATAACTCATGGAATACTTCAATTTGATCACTTGCAAGCAAAAATACTCCAGAAGTTGCCCATAAAAACTCAACATCTCTAATCATATTCAATAGACATCTTAAATAATGCCTAATCTCCTAACACTAGATGTTGATACTCCTGCTATGACTTCCTTCAACCATTCTATTCTTTGAGAAAGTTGATTTCCAGAAGTATATACAATTATACCAGTCCCTTGATCCGATTCCCAGTGCTCTAATACCATATAGGCTAACCAACAAATGAGAATATATGAAGACTATTGATCAGAAAAAAGAAAGAATAGATGAAGACTGAAGAGGAGAAACAAAAGAGAAAGGAGAAGTATACCCTCAGACATGCATGCTGAGCTAGTAGAGTTTCAGCCAAAAGTGAAATTAGGGGATGTGCCCTTCTCATAGAATTTATATTGAAGCACGTAAATTACATTTCAGTCCCTTAATAACAAGAAAAATATGAACAGGACAAGTATGCCCTCAAACAAACAACTCACACAACCGTTCCCCTCAAGCTAGGCATAAATATTATGCATGCTGAGCTTGACAAGATTTTCTTCCAACTTCGATTTGGTTAGACCCTTAGTCAAACAGTCTACAAGTTGATTAAATGATTTCATAAAAGGTAAATGTCTCTCCACTAATCACTCTTTCATGAATGAAATGCCAATCAATTTATATATGCTTTGTGTGATCATGCTGAACTGGATTATTTGCAATGTTGATGGTTGTAACAAAATAGTTTCATAGGATGATCAAAAACCACTCCAATTTCTATCAAAAGAGTCCTTGGCCAGAGTAACTCAGAGACCTATGTGTCATTGCCCTATATTCATCTTCAGCACTACATCTTGCAACAACCTATTTTTTTTGCTTCTCCAAGAAACAATATTTCCTCCAACAAATGTACAGTATCTAAATCTGGATCTTCTGTCATCAATAGATCCAACCCAATCAGCATCAATGAAAGTCTCTATCTTGAGATGACCATGAAGATTATATAGTATTCCCTTACCTAGAGTGTCCTTCAAGTAATATAGTATCCTCTCAACTGCTACAAGATGAGGAAGACAAGGTTGATGAATATATTGACTAACTACACTAACAGTAGAGAATATGTTAGGTCAAGTCAAGCAAAGATGGAGCGCAACTTTCCAACTGGACGTTGATACATACCCATACATACCCTTGTCTAAGAAGATATCACCATCAGCCCCATTGATTTTGTTGTTTGGATCTATAGGAATGTCTATAAACTTAGCCCCAAGTTTGTTTGTCTCTTTTAGCAAATCTAAAACATACTTCCTTTGGGATATTACCGATATAAAGATGGCCTTCTTAGATCTTGCAATCTCAACTCCAAGGAAATACCTGAGTCCAACAAGATACTTAATCTCAAATTCAGAGGACAAAAATTGCTTCAGCTTCTAAATTTCAAATTGAGACGTTGGCATCCCACATGCACATTTTAGCATACATTGGGAACATCTCCTATAATATATCATGGAGAAATGTTCACAATACGCGAATGGGAGGTGTTGTGGGGCACATATGTGAATTCTTTCAAATTTCCCATTACTGGTTATAACAATGTCATCCACTGATCCGCATACACAATCAAAATAATCACCAAATCCCCATTCCTCTTGAAGAAAAGAGTGATCAGCATGAGATTGGGGAGCACTTATAAATCAGTCAAACCAACCTCAAGGACATTGTTTCAAGTCGTAAATAGATTTTTGGAACTTACAAGCCTTGCCTTCACTTCCAAGAATAATTACACCAAGAGGGGGATCCATATACACTTCCTCTTGCAAATTACCATTCAAAAAAACACTCTTAACATCCATCTAATATAATGGTGAAGAGAACTTAGCAGCAAGAGATATCAAAACCCGGATAGTATTCATCTTGGCAACCAGAGCAAAAGTCTCAAGATAATCAATGCCATATGTCTAAGTATATAACTTAGCTCACTAACCAAGCTTTAAATCATTATATTTTACAATGTATACCCACTTACATCCAACTGGCATCTTTCGCATTGGAAGCTCAACTAACTACAAGGTTCGATTCTTGTCCAAGGCCTGCATTTTTTGATCCATAGCCTCTCTCCAATGTGGTTGGGCAACTGCCTCTAGAATGGGAATAGAAACAAAAGACAAGGTTGCAATAAAGGTAATAGTATGAAGGAGATAGAGCCTCATAAGACACATGGTTAGAAATAGGATAAGGGGTGGTAGTAGACGGCAGTGTACACTTCCTTCTTTTCCCTTTCGCAAGGCAATAAGATCAAAATCACTAGGTTCATCACCTTCACCATTGGCACTAGAGATCTCAATAGGATCAAAAGGAGTAGAGTCAACAACAATGACAAGGTCATTGCAAGAACCAGGAAAAGATTGTAGTGGATGATCAACATCTAGAGCCACCCTCTAGGAATTGTTCCCAATATACATTTGCCTCAAAACCAGACGTGACTTACTCCCACAAGGTGTAAGGGAAGAGCTTAGTTTCTCAAAAGGTGCAAAGGTAAAGAAAAACGGAATTGGAACCAAGATCGGAAGAGAAAAGAGAAAACGTTGCCGCTCTGTTTTTTTGAAAGGAAAGGTAACTTTCATTGATGAATTTAAATAAAATTACAATTACAATTTTATCACCCACATGATGGGTGGAACACCAGAACAAGAACCTTACAAACAAGCCCAAAACAAAGCCTCCCTAGTAACTCCTTGCTTAGCTACCCATTTAAAATGCACCCCAATCTCCCTTGCTAAGCTAATAATCCCCCCTTCACTATTAATGTGCCATGTTTGACCTCCTTCACTTTTAATCCCCCCTAAAGAGAAACCTTGGGAGAGAAAAAAGGTTGTGACTCAAAGAAGGTGACATCTTTGGATACAAAGCTCCTTCCAAAATAAGGATCATAGAATTTGAAACCCTTCTAAGTACAAGAATACCCAAGAAAAACACATTTTTGGGCCAAACGTGACACAAGAAGGAAACATGTCATGAACAAAATAGACACATCCAAAGACATTTAAGGGAAGACTGGAGACGAGAATATCACCATACAACAAATCATCTATGGATCTTGATTGAAATACCCTAGAAGGAAGTCTATTGATCAAATACACAACAGCTTGTACTACATCTCCCCAAAAACAAGTGGGAACATGCATCTAAAATAACAAACCACAAGCAACCTCAACAAAATGCATGTTCTTCCTTTCTGCAACCCCATTTTGCTAAGGGGTGTGAATACACGAACTCTGGTAAGTAACTCATTTCTCTTCAAGGAAAGAGAGAAATTTTTTGAATTCACCTCTCAAACTTAGCTTCCACCATGCAAAGAATTTTGGATAACTTGTGGCACTTTGCCTATGCTCTTGAGAAGATACAACCAAGTAAATCTAGAGAAGTCACAAACAAATAACATAAAATATTTGTATCCCCCCAGACTCAATATGGGCCCCACACATCAGCATGCACAATATGGAAGAGCAAAAAACTTTTATTGCTTGGGTAATATGCTATTCTACAATTCTTTGATAGTTGACATGTTTCACATTGAAGATCAAACATACAAACTAGCTAAAAAGGAGTTGGAGAAAACAACTTCAAGGAACCAAAAGACACATGACCCAAATGACAATGCCACAAAATGATTTGACTCATAGACTTATTACAACTAAGAAGAACATGCTAAAGATTGAGTTGTAGTAGGATCCAAAAGGTAAACTCCATTAGATTCACTCCACCATAAAAAAAGAAAATTACACAACAATTCAAGGACTTTGCAAGAGAACTAATAGATAACAAATTTGTATGAGGTTGAGGAACATGAAGAACAAAACTAAGTGTCAAGTGAGAGATTATCACTCAAATAAATGGTTAGAATGAAAACTAGAGGAGCAAGGTTAAAAATTCCATTACGTGTCGACCGATACAAGCCGATACATATCATATTGATGGGCCATTGATACACTTAGTTTAAGGTATTTTTGAACAACCCTTGCTTTAATAGTTAAAGAACTTTATTTCTCAAATCCTGATACACCCCTTTCGGTGCATTGAAATTTTGAACCTTGTAGAGGACATGCTCGTCATATGGTCAAATGCACCCAAATCAATAAGCCAAGAAGTAGGTGTAGTGGCAATTGTATGACAAGGAAATAAGGAATTGCCTGACTTGGAAAAAGCTGTAGAAGGACCAATAGGATCAGATGTACTAGTTTTGCTATTGCTTTCCAACCTAGTAAGAAGTCAATTGAGTTTGTCTATTTCAGCCATAACAACAGTTGATGATTCCCCATGACCAGGCCCAGCAGGTTGAGTCATAATTGAATTCTATGAACCTTGAAGGTGTAATTCCAGCACCTCTCCTTTGTATGAGGTCCTTTACAATAATAACACAATACTTCATCTATTTCAGTTATTTGAGCCCCCCTTGAACTGCTACTAGACTTTTTTTGAAGAGTGAAAAAGAAAATTTATTAAAAGGAAAAGCAAATACAACCTAAAGAGGTGTTGAGGAAACCAATGTTTTAAAATGCGGAGGCGTGACGCGAGACGTTCCACTACCTAGAAGAATGAGGCGTAGTTCATAATGCAAGAGGCATAAGCCTCCTTAAGAGGAGAGGGTTAGGAGGAGGATGAAGAGGAAGGGGGGATCTCATTTTTTCTTTATTTTTAATATAAAAATCTTTTATATTAAGAAGAATAAAGATGCATAACTTAATTCATATTTAAAGAAAAAATTAACAATACTTGCAATAACAAATATCTTCAAAATATCTTTAGAACATGAAGTAAATCCAGAGGATTCATTTACTAATATGCACATATTAAAAATCTAAGTAAATTCTTAATTGGGAGAATTTTTACAGCCTCAACTACAACAGAGCGGAAAGCAGTTCTACAGGGCTTACAGCTTTGTAAGCAATTGGGATTGACTAGGATTGTTGTTGAAGGTGACTCCCGGACTGTAATAGGTTGGCTTCAACAGGAGGCTCTGCGAACATGGCAACATAGACACACCTTGAGAGCATCTTGACAGTTAGCTAGAGAGTTAAGGGTTGATTGGAACTGAACTATCAGATCAGCTAACACTGTAGCTGACTCACTTGCAAGGCAAGGAATAAGCTGGTCACCTAGCTTCACCTTGGCACCTTGAAAACTATGATCAGTGATCCTCTATTCGCATATGAAACCATCTCAGTCAACATTCCTTCATCTTGTCACTAATTGAAGCTACTCCTAAGTCTTTTTATGTCCTCATTTTCCATCCTATCCTTTCTAGTCCCAGCATTCATCCATCTCATTAGCTTTCATCTCAGCTACAATCACTTTTTGAACATGTTATTGCTTGATTACCCAGTGCTCTGTCCCATATAGCAATGGATTGGTTAAAAGTTTTTATGTTGACTCCAAACCTGATACAACCCTGCAAGGTGCCAACCAGCTGGTTGGTAAGGCCTCCTGCTGGTCGTAGCAGAAAGTTGAGATCGAATCCCACCTGCACCTGGGTTGAGGGGGTTATGGGTTGGGGGATGGGTTACCCCCCGTTATGTAGCCCTTCAAAAAGAAATCAATAAAAAAAAATGACACAATCCTCCTTTATGTTGGCTAACAGAATTCAAGTTTCCTACTAAAAGACAGAACTATAAATATATCCCAAAATATTCTTTACAATATTCACTCTCTAGAAACTTCACTTGAGCTTACTAGAGTAAGCTTCAGATTCTGCTGCGAGATTGAGCCTAAAATATTGGACTTGCAAGCGGAAAAACCACCATAGTTAAAGGAGGCATAGCATGGTGAATAAAGTACCAAAAACTAATCAACCAACAGTCTCCAATATTTGTGCATAATGAGATGGATCATTTTTTGCTTTAATAATACATACATAGGTAGGGGTGGATACGAGACAAGCCAAGCCAAAATTTAGACCATTTGAGCTCAACTTGACAGGAAAGCACACAACTTGAGTTCGGGCCCGAGTTCGACTCAGATTGACTCAAAAGCTCATATGTTAGAACTCAACTTGGCTTGATCTAGTAAGTGACTAGTGAGATGGCATGGAAGTTAAACCAAGCAATTCTTCAATTGCAAGATCTCAATGATAATAAGGTTGGAGAAATCAATCTCTTTTGGTGTCTGGTTGTGACTCATGGACATAGAGGGAATCAAGGTTAGTGATGGGGTTTAGTCGATTAGGGACTAAACCTTAATTTTATTGTTTTGTTTTATTTCTTATTATACATATAAAAAATTAAAATATATATAAGCTCAATTAGGCTCACAATCTTCACGATCTGATCTTCATACTATTTGAGCTCGGCTCAATTAAGCCTATAGTTGGACTACTCGAAGTTCAATGTGGACCAAGCCAAATCGAGCTTTTCATGATCTGAGCTTGAATGGCTCGTTCATATCCACCCCTAGACATAGGCGTTCAGCCGTTTATTTGGCATGCATGTATGGACTAAGGCTCAGTTTGGAAGGAGTACAAATGCATATATGTAGAGTGCAAAACCTTATATTTTATATTATTTTGTATGTATTTGCACTGTACATATTTGCAGTTGTACTCTTCCCAAACTGAACCTAAGAGAATACCATGGAGCAAATCAATCCATTAACAGATAACAAAAGTAGAACTATTTTCTTCATTGATATAAATGTTGAAATATATAACCAATCATGTGTCTGGACCCCATTACATATCATCAAAGCAACTAACTGCATTGATTTAACCTCTTTTGAAAGAGATTCCTAATGCATATAATGCAATATCAAAAGGAGAGAATCCAAGTAAATACTCACAATTTGCTGCAATGATGTAGAAAGAACTGCTATGCAGGCACATAAGAAACCCTTGGCATTTACTTTAACATCTGTTACAGTACAGACACCCACACCAACAACCACTACTACCACAGCCATCTTTACCTCCCTTGAGTAATGTTTACTATGAAGGATCCACTCCATCACACAAACAACCGGAATCATGCTTAGCTTTGAAATCTACACTCCAAAAACAATGATCAATGCCACAAACACTAAGAATCCAGTCATCCAAAACATGTAAATTTACCTTACTAGTCCCTACCTGATAAAACCCCACAGAATTTAGCATTAGACTGAGATTCATCCCGGTAATTGACATATTGGCAACCACTGAGAACCAAAGAAGCTCCCACAGAGGTACATGTTTTGACGCAGAGTACCCAGATACATTTGACACGAAACCAACTAATGCAGTCACCGCAAAGTGGAACCCAGTTAAAGTTGTTGCTGAAAAACACAAAATGATATTAAAACATACATATAAAATAATCGGATAGAAATGTTCAACCCAAACGTGTAACAAAATGAAGAAATCACACAAGTAAACTTGAGTGAATAGGCTATATTACACGGAGAATACCCAGTTCAGATGATATATAAGCAACTATTCATGTCAGGGGGAAAAAAAGGGATCAATAGAAAACAGATCCTTAAGCTGATCAAAAATGCGGAAAATAAAGTAACACTACACTCAATCACCATCTCGAGGCAAGATCTCAAGCAATTTAAAGCTCAAGGAAAAAATGAAAAATGAAAAATGAAATCTAGATTAAAAGAAATCTACAATTACCAGTAACTTGAGGACAAGGAAACAAGAAATCGAGTACGTGTGCACACATAGAGGCAAGATAGAAAGATGGAGAAAGAGAGGGAGCACGAAAAACTAATATTGAGAAAAAAAATGTGGATCACAGATAACCCGCAACTGGAACTCAAGGGATCTTTCTATTATTTTTCTTTTTATTTAAAATTTGAAACAAATCAAACAGGAAAAGTTGATTACAATTAATAGACAACAAAACAAATTATCAAAAATAACCTTACTAGACACAAAATGAAGATTGGATAGAAAAAGAATGAGATCAAGAATTATAATAAACTCAACTAAAGGATAACCGTAGTTGGCAACATTATCAAGTAAGATTAACAGCACAAGAGGATATTTAAAAGAGTGGAATGTCAGATCTGTGTATGTGTGCGAGAGAGGAAGAGATACTGACCAAAGCTGAAGGCGTAACCGCTGGGGGACATGAGCTGCTTGTTGGCCATGATAATGCCGACGGAACTGATTACGTTCATAGCCCACGCTCCCATATCAGACACCGCCGACGCCTTCTTCTCGTCCTCCATTTCCCAGATCGAGGAAAGAAGAAAGGATAAAGGACGGGTGAGAAACTAGTGAAAGGTCTGAACGTGGCGCTGTGCAGAGATCACAGAGAATATTGTTTGAGCTGAGAACACATAAACGAAGAGAAGAGAAAGGAAGCTTGGTCACGTTCTTATTCCTTACTCCCTAAACATGCTTCTTTCCATGTATTTCCCCACCTCTCTTCTCCCTCCCTCACTCGCACTCGCTTTCACCGCTCTCTTGTCTTCCACACACACACTAATTACTCTCTCTCTCTCTCTCTCTCTCCTAAAACGCTCAATTTACAAATGCCGCTACAAGTGTATTCAACGCTCTAGCTAAAAGGGAAACGCGATTAATTCTACCATGGTGGAGGTACTCCTAATTCCCAAATTGGTATCTTCTATTCCAATCTGACCTTCCTTCAAATGGGAATTCACCCGACACTCCGTGTCACCGTCTAATATCCAGCGCATCTATCCTTTCGCATTTCACGAAGAAAAGCCCCAATTTTACGTTTTGTGTCTAAAAAAAGAATTTGTTTTCAATTTATGTTTTATACCAAAAAGAAATTATATAGTCTTTCAAAAAATCACTGTCAATCGCCTAAAACAATCCCAATGCACGGTGGGACTGGGATATGTGATTATGTGGTCGGTCTGGGTCTAACGAGCGCTCCGTGAGGAGCCTTGATAAAGACACCAATAGCAATTTGCCGCACCAGCCTGTCCTTCCAATTTCTTAAATGATGTGGCATATTTTCATTGGAGTGATACATTTCATCCTGAATCCCTTAAAACACTTTTTCTTTCAATTTTTGCTTTTCACAGCCCATAGGTCCAAAAGCGCAAGTTTACCCACACAAATGTTAGATTATCATTGACTCTTTTGCCGTAATCCGTATTCTGGACATTTATGGATAGGTTATTTATCATTGATTTTTTTTATATTTTTTTCATTGAACGTTTTTATTTTATTTACTCAATCAATAAAGTGATAATTACAATCATTTATGACAATTAGGTGTCACTAGGCTCCACATCAGCCTAATAATGAAAAACTATCATAAAATCTTTAAAAAATAACTTCCCCAAATGGTAGGTATACATAAAAACCAAAGTTCACTTTTGTTATTCTTGATGCATATGGAATAATAAAAGAGGAAAACTGCTAAAGTGGCACCTATGTGACAACATTTATTGAATGAACACTTACGAACCAAACACCCTTTTGTTGTTTGGTTGAGTTTCATTTTAAACATTTTTTACTCTCTAACTCATGCCACATCAGCATTTGGCTTCAAGAAACGTTGGGTGTTGGGGGGAACAAGAATTTAACATTTCCCCAAGTGGCCTATGCACAAAAATCAAAATGTTTCAATTTTCTACCATTTATTTGATAAACATTTAAACAATGAAACCGGACAATTGTTTCATTTTGCCTCATATGCAATAAACACCAATGTCTATATGGCACTAATGTGGTAGCGTTTTTTTAATAAACGCCCATAAAAACAAACACAGCCCTAATCACCCAAAGAGATTTCTTTTTTTTCCTATGAAAATAACTATTAAACAATGATCAAAATTTTAATACAATATACCCTGTATTGAAAACCCTATTTTTTTTAATAAAAATAAATATAAAACTACCCAAAAACTAATTTTTGAAAAAAAAAGAAAAAATATAAAAGCGTATGTCTTTTAGTACTGATATGTCTCTAACAATACAGGGTATATCGATACTTCGAACATTATTATTAAATTAACCTTATAAAAAATTATACATCCATACCTTCATGCGGGAATTGAAGCAGTATTTCATTTATCCTCCGAATATACTTTATATACCATTTCATCCCAAAATCTCTACTCCAAACTCCAACCAACAGAAGATCTTACCAACCAACGACAACCAGTTGGCACCTTGCATGCAATATATCATTTACATGTAATATATAACAATTTACAAACATTGATATCTATATAATTTTCCTTCATTTTTAGGGGCGTTTCATTAATTCATTATAAAATGCAGGTTGTGGCCAAATAACAACCCTCGTCAGCCTAACTCTCCCAATTTTTGTTTTAATAAAGTTTTAAGTTGGAATTTTTTTTATACATGTGATGCGGGTTAGGCCCCCAATAAAGCAGATCCAGTTAGCCGGGATGATGGATCTGCGGTAAACAAGAATGCATGGGCCCATTGACATTAGTACGCGGAGAGTGACGAGTAATTAACTACCTGGTCGTCGGTCCCGAGGTTGAATTGAATTTCTTTACCATTCACTCTGGGTCAAAGCCGGATCTACACGTAACGCGTCATGGACCTCTTGCCCGATTATACTCATAAAAAATCAAATTTTCAGAAACCGCCGTTGATTCGGACGGTCGGACCGTTCGGCCCGGAAACTGTTTAGATAATCGGTTTTATTTTACTCCAAGTTCAGTTATTGGTTAAAAACCGTTGAATTAATCAATAATTCGTTGATTTAGGTGGTCGAATTGTTAATTCGTTCAAACTATTTAATAGTTTTTATCCATTTTTAAATTTTAAATTTTCTTTATTTTTAAAATTTATTTTATTAAAATGGGTCATTCGTTAGGACTGGAGGGTCAACCTAGAAACCAGTGGCTAAAACGGTTTCGGTTTTGGATCATTTTATAAAACATTGTAATAAAGTTTTCAGGCATATGTCTTAGAAAATATTACATGTTTTTAGTACATTTTTTAATGTTATTTGGCCCAATAAAAAGAAAACAAAATTTACAATACAATAAACATTATTTAGATATTTTTATAAGGAAGTTATTTATACAAAATAGATTAATTGAAACTAACATATAGGAAACGCGTAACAGAAATGACATTGATACCATATATATATATATATATATATTATAATAAATTTGGGTGTGTCATGTCAACATGTCTCTCATTTGAAATAAGCTATTTATCTATTTTCTCTATTTTTTGCAATTTTTTATTTTTTATTTTAAAAGTATACAAAATTAATTATACTCTATTTTGATTGGATCAATAAAGTTGTATATTATTATATAGATAAAGATATTTGAGTTTTCCAATGCATCTTATTTTAATGCATGCTATTATTATATTTAAAAGAGAGAGAGAGAGAGAGAGAGAGAGAGAGAATAATAATATAAATAGGTTAAGGTTAAACAATAAAAAAAATATGAATTTAAAAATCCACTAAACTTTCACTTAAAATAAATATTAACCAAATTTAGTAAATATTAAAAATGTGTTTCAATTTCACTTAAAAATCAAACTTAATAAATGCTAATAAAAATAAGAAATTTAAATTAAAAATATTAATTCATAGTTTTAATAAAATTATTAGATAATTTTATATGAATGCATTTTAATTAATTAATATTTTTTATGAGTTGAGACCGTTATTGTGCATAATGAACTCATTAAAAATGATAAAAATTAATAAAAATTTAAAATATAGAACCCATTTTATTAACAATATTTTGATGCAAAAAATATTGAATAATAATGAAAAATACCGATAACTAATTAAAATATGGAAAATTCTGAAAAACCTAAACGTAATTAAAATACTGAAAATAAATAAAAAATGCTGAAAGTTAACAGTATTTTATATTAATAAGGATATTTACTAAAAACAGATTAAAAAGTACAATTAATAGGATTTTATTATTAAAAAATAACCAAGTGAGAAATTATTGAAAATTAACTGTATTTTTTACTAACTACGGTTTTTATTTAGTTATTTCATTTATTTTTACTAAATGCAAATGCAAATTAATCTTGTAGTGACTAATATGCAAAAATAAATGCTGAAAATACTAAAAATTATTAAAGAATACTCATATGGAAAAATTACTGAATAATAACGAAAAACATACCAAAAATTAATTAAAAATCAGGAAATTCTGAAAAACCTAAAACTTAAATAAAATACTAAAAAATAAATTAATTGTATTTTATTTCAAAAAATATACTGAATAATAATGAAAAAATAATATATTTTAATCATCAACAGTAATATAATTAACAATTATTTTTAAACTGTAATTAACAGTAATTATAATTTAAGCTATAAATAGCAAAAAATTATATTTAGTTACCAAAAAGTTACATTTATTACCAAAAATTTTATTTAAATAGTTTTAACCAAGAAATTACCAAAAATTTTATTTAACAGTATTTTAATAATTATAGTATTTCAATTTTTATTAAAACAATATTAATAATTAAATTAATAAATATTGTATTTATTAATTAATCAGTCAATAGTATTTATTAATAAGTATTGATTAATTAATAGTAAATTAATAATTATATTACTTTTAATAATTAATAGTATTTAGTTAATTACAATATTTATTAATTAACAGTACTTAATTAATTGTAGTATTTATTAATTAATAGTATTTAATTAATTATCCATTTATTCAATAAATAAAGTATTCTAATAATTATAATATTTTAATACTCACAGTATTTTATTACAATATTAATAATAATTGTAGTATTTTTACATAATTAATTGTGTTTATTAAAATAATTTATTTATCAATAAATACAATATTAAAATGGTCCTGGTTCGTCTAGAAACCTATAACATGCAATTTATATATAATTTGAAGTCTAATAACTAGTATTAATAAAATTACTAAAGTTAATAAAAATATTAAAATTTAGCAAGTTTTTAGCCAACAATTATTAAAAGTTATGAAATTCATAAAAAAAATAGTAGTTCATAAATTAAAAATAACTGAAATATAATTTAATAAGATAATTAAAATAAATATAAAACTAAAAAAAATATGAAAAGTAAAAATTAAACCATTTGCATAATGTCATAAGACTCTTACTTAGGAATGATTATTTATAACTTAGCTCAACCTTGGGCTCAAGCAAATATTTTCTTCTAAGCTAGGCTTAGCTTAGATCTACACCAAGCTCATGTATCAATTTTTAATAGGATAATTAAATTTTAATAGGTTTTATTAGGGGTGAGTATCATTTGGTTAAAACTGAAAACCAACCAATTTTCGGTTTAAGTTTTTAGGATTAGAAATTCGGTTAACCAAATTAACCAAACATTCTATTATTATATGTAATATATGATATATAATATGTAAGATATGATATATAATATGTAACATATAATATATAATATAATTAAATTTGATTTCATAATATATATTTTATAATATCTCATATATACTATCTTTTATAATATATATATAATAGAGTATATATTATTAAATTTTTGTTTTAACCGAAATAACCAAAAACCAAATAAAAAATTTTGGTTTCGGTTTCGGTTTTTATTTTTTTAGTTTAGTTTTTAAAGTTTCGATTTATTCGGTTTGATTTTTAATCGAATAAATTGAATGCTCACTCCTATGTTTTATCTAGCAATTATTAAAAATTAGTATTGATAGGATAATTGAAATTAATAATAAAACATAGCAAATC